CTGGCCTGGAGGCCTTATGTCCTTTGAGGTAACTGATTTCCAGGGTAACCTTCAGATGGAGGACCGATATTTACTGGCAGTATTTGTCCAGCTGATTCACATATAGTGTGGTTTTCTGTTGACCGGGGCCAGCTAAACTTTGTCTTAAAATATTGTGCCCATTGTTCTAAATTGAAGTTTCAAGGGTTCTAGCTAAGACAGCTTGTTGGCCAGTTTGAAAGTGTGCGGACATTAAATGCGACCCAGTGAAAAGGAGGTTATGGTTTCAAATATGTTATTTCTGGTTGATTGACCACACTACTTGAACGCTGAGTGATATCCGATGGGTGGCGCAAAAGAAGTATATCTAAGAATTAGGAGTGAGAAGAAAAATTAGGCAGATGAGAAACAGGGTTTTCCAAATGGATAGCTAAGACTTTGAGGTACCGCATACTTCGCGGGAGCCCACACCAAACAAGGGACTTTTCTTCGGGAGCCCTAACCGGAGCCTCTGACTCAGAGGTTTGACCCGCAACGCAGCGGGGCGTAGATCCTACGCGGGCGCGTGATCGACGCACCCGTGTGGGAGCATCTAGAACCCTGTCATGCAAGGCCTTTGGGTTGCGGTCCAGTGTGTTGTTCGCTACCACGTTGACTGACAATTCGCAGTTCGAGATTGGCCCTTAGTCTCACGCGCCTACTGAGACAGACGCAAAGTGGACTGAGCAGCACATTACCAGCCTTCCGTTGCGAGACAGCGGAAGCTCTCTAGTAAAGTGTGAAGACTTCTCCCACATGCGGAATGAAACCCTGAGGGTATCCCACTACTAAGCCCAATTCATGGCTATTTTCGACCAGTAAAAAGGCTTTTCCAATTATTCGTTGACATGTGCTCTCCAGAGCCCAAGTATATGGCCAAAGGAAAAACAGTCGCGGATCAATCAACACGTCTTGTGAAAATGAACTTTGTTTGGGCTCTTCTCATTAAGCCTTCAGGTGATTGGATTTACGGCATTTAGAGGCTATGGACCATAACTTGCCGGACCACCAAGTAGAAAGGAAAAATAAGCCGATTCGAAGGATCATAACTCGTTCCGGAAAAATCATGTATTTTTATTTCATTTCCGAGGCCGAGCCGATATCGCTCACAACTGTACACTTACCCTGCCCAGCTAACCAACACCCCCAAAACCATTGTGATACTGCATTAAGTTTCCCCATGAAAGTTGAGAGAGACGGTATGGTTTCTGTGATGAATCCTCGTCCATGGTTCGCTGAAGCAAGAAATATCGACGGGGGATCAGTTACATCATATCGTTGTGGTGTACCGCTTACCTTCATACACAAACTCAGCCAATGAGACATCATTGCCAACCATCTATCACATTCTGTTACTGAAGTTCACACATGTCCTCATTATGGATGGCTTCAATTGCCCAGACCTGGCTAAATCATTGACCTCTCCACAACCGTTTGAAAAGAAACTCACTCAGTTTATTGAATTCTATCCACTTTACAATTCTGCAAAGGAACCAAACAGTCATCGTCGGTTTTGGAGTTGGTGTTAGCTAACGAGGAATAAATAGTGGAAACGACCTCTACCACAATTCCATTAGTGATCATGCTACGCTGACGTTTGACCACATTTGCTACGAATCCGTATCACAAATTTCTACAGTTAACTCTTGTATGGTTGTTGATTACACTAAACTTAAGATTTTGGCGAGACTTCCAATGGAATTTTCTAAAAAAACGGTCGGATCCCTCGGTACCCTGGCAAGAATTTACGAATCACCTCAAGGAAACGGGGAAGGGTGCAAGCAAGACTAAACACAGTATCTACTCCACCGGCCAAAGATCAGTGATTCGAAGTCGAACAAAGAAGCGGATTTCATGATGAGCGATGTTCTTATAACACATGGTATACCTATTGTCTACTTCGAAACCACTGCACCAAGTTGGAGTGGGAAGAATAGTTGATGTATCAAGAAATGTTGATGAGCAAGTTAATACCCAATCCCAAGCTGTTGTACAAACACAAATATCTCCAGAATAGTCAATTCTGGCGTTCCAGGGCTAAGGCTGTCAGGACGTGTCTCAATCACTTTTTTCATTTTACTTCCTTTTATTGAATATACAAAGATACAATTTTCAGGAAGGGTGAAGCGGCCAATCAAAGGGCTGCCATTCAACACACACAATGGGGGAAGTCAGGCGGTGGTAGTGGGATTCGAACATAAATTCCAGGAGTGATAATTTGGTGACATTACTAACGGGTCAACACCGCAACTGTGTTTGAAAAAGAACTTATCTCCAAGAATTAGTACAGTACAATTCTTACAACCATTAACGATGCACTTTCGTGCGCCGGTTTCGGCTGCCCATTTGGATAACAAAAGCAGAATGAAGATTAGAATGTTGACAGTAGATTCAAGCAGAAGATAGCGCATTTACATAGACTGCAGTTACAAGAATAATGAGTAGATGCACGAGCACCACTGTATGCGACAACCGACCATATCGCTCAGTGTCTCTAACTATCGGTGACCATGATCTCGGGATAGATAATATCCACCCGCAAACCCTTACCAACCTGAAAAGTAGCACAGGTCACCCATTAAGTGCACTATTCCAACGTATGTTCGTCGAAACTGTGCTCCCATTAACATGGAAACAAGGAATAAATTCGTCAATATACAAAGGTGACTAACTTAGTAACCCAGCTAACTACCGCCCCGTTACTCTCCTCCCAGTATTATCCAAAGCCAAGGAATCCACTGTTGCAGATAATGTGACGAGTCACTTGGAAAAATAATATTTTTTGTTCTTGGTGCAACATGAGTTTCGTCCTTGGCGATCATGTACCAATAACCCGTTTCTGGCCCGAGAAGAGTTGACAAAAGCAGTTGATCACGGGGATGCAGTGGACTTTGTGTACCTCGACTTCTCCAAGCATTTGACCGTGTGCACCATAAAATACTGCTGGGGAAACTGGACAATTATGGAATTCGAGGACATGTACTGGGTTGGATATCAAGAATTTCTTCGACAACGCACTATTGCAGTTCGAGTATCTGGGTTACTATCTGATCCTATCAGCGCAACCCGAGGAGTCCCATGGGGGACGTGCTTAGTCCTCAATTTTTTTCCTTTTATAAACCACTTAACGGACATTCTGAGGCTTCAAGCGTTGATGTTTGCAGACGATGCAAAAATATGAAAAACAGTGAAAAAACCTGAGGGCCCACTGCCCCTTCAGAGAACACTTAATGCTGCTTATCAGTGATCGATCGAAAACGACATGGAATTCAATGCATTAAAATGTACGGCCGTATCCCTTTGTCACAAAACTCGGTTTCTGAACTTCTTGGGATGTCAAAGACTTCCGTTTACCTCGGATGAGAAGAATCTCGGTGTCATTGTTCAATTCGACCCAGGTTGTTTTTTCAACTGCCCTAGGGCGTCGTTCACCATTAAAAGCGAATATTTGGCCAATTCGAACCTACACTGTTCGGACCCTTGTTATCAGCCTGTGGTAGATCCCACACAGAGTATGCCATTCAACCGTGGAATACTTGGCTGTAACACGACCGTAAGGTTTTGGAACATCCACAAAGAATGGCCAACAAAATGGTCAAGGGATTGCACTCCAAGGCTTATGTAGAAAGACTGGAATCATTGGAATTATGCTCAACATAGTATCGCCGAGTTCGGAGAGACTTGATTTTGGTGTATCAAATAATGCAGATCCCAGATCACCCATGTCGCTCACTGTTTGTCTTGTCGCTTAATACACACCTCAGGGGGAAATCATTCAAACCAGTGTTCCAAAAATGTCGACCAAAATGCTGGCATCATTCATTTAGCCTCAGAGTGTGCAGTATTTGGAATTCTCTACCATCGCACGTAGTTTCTGCAACCACAACTGATTCTTTCAATCTATAATTGGATGGAACATTAACGAGTCTTGAATTTTGACATCCATAGCAGTGCACGAAACAAAGAAAATTTGTGACATTCCTTATCTTTTTATGAACCGTACATGGAATCATGTTTGCTAAACCTTATGGGTCAAGAAAAGCAACCGCTGTATTTCCCATAATAAAATTTTAACTTTGACAAAAAATAAGATAATGATCGAGGATATCATCAGAGGGGGTTCACATTTCTAAAGCACAATCAGCCAAGGTTTTGCAACCATTATCAGAGCAAACACATATGGTTGATGACAAAATGATCTCAACACCTACCTGTTGCGTGAGCCATATCAATCTAATGGTTGTGTAAACTGAAACTACAGAATCCAAGGGTATTTGAGGAACATAATGAAGTAAACCAAGGCTGTTTTGTATTCATTTTGGAAGACCATTCTCGGACTGCGCAAAACGCGGATCATAGTTACACGGAAAGGGTTATGGTGACGCAGGATGAGGCAAGAGGAATGGGAAGCAGGTTTTCGGAAATCGTACCGATTAGTCGATTAGGAATGGTTCTACAATGTTTCCCCAACGTGCGATTTAATCACGTGATTCCAGGAATTTGCTGCTAAAAAACATAATCGATCAAAATAGGCTACAAGTCACAAAAAAATGTAACAACAGGACTCACTTCGAGAGCTTGGTGGTCCAGAACTCAAACCACTTTGGAAGCCATCTAAAGTGGGCAGACGAGGTGGACTGTCAGCAACATGAGTTGCACTGTCTGCTGGTATAGAAGAGAACAGTGGAAGCAAAGGAGGTAGTTGACTGTGCGCTGCGGAAGAGTTAATGTCACCGGCACTGGTCGATGCCTGACTGGGTCTGGATGACAAAACGTGACTCGTGACGTCTGATATAGAGCTCAAAGTGGCCGAACCCGACGCATGTAAACCACCACGATCAGGAAGGCGCTCCAGTGACGGTGGAGGAGGAAGTGTACAATGTTTAGATGGTATACTTAGGGACTCATCATCTTCACCGCTGCTCAGCAGACTTTCAGTCCCACTGCTGCTGGACAGATTGGAGTCACTAACTTCCGAAGTAGTTCGTCCGCGATAACTCAAACGATCACGAGTGATAGTCAACTGTAAAGGTGGTGGCGGTCCCACCGCTGCCAAAGGAGTTTTACAGACACCCAGACTACCACGCGATTCATTGCTCGAAGCTATTTGAGGACCTCGCATGATTTCCGGATCTAATTGCTCTGCAGACCAAAGCTTTGGTGGTGGACCACGACCTTGATTAGTCGATTGTGTGTTTGCTCCCAAGCGGATTACTCTGAAACGATATATGGAGTGAGTTCACCAAATGCATGGCAGGAATCAGATGAGTCAAACACAGTGAATGACTGACTGGAAGTAGATGAGATACGAGGACAATGAGGATTTGTGCGTCACGTGCAGTTATCGAATGAGTAAGTGCAAACAAAGGGAAAATACTGATCACAAGTCAGAGTACAGTTTCAGCTGTATAAAGTTAATACCACTTGATTAACAAAGACGAGATTCAAGTTCTACAGATTTCTCTCGCAGTATACTGAGTAAAGCGATAATTTTTCGAGTATGATGACAGAAAAATCAATACTTGTAAAACACTTGTCACTTACATTTTACGACGAATCACTGCTAAAAAACACTCTATCCAAAACGTTTCGGCTACTTATACACAACTAACGTGATGCGGCCAACTGTTTCGTTGATGCAATTACACATAAATGTTATAGGTTACTAGAACTGGGATTGTTGCAGATGGGAACGCGTTCAAAAGTGTGCTATTTTAAGATGTACGCAATTCCGTTATTTTGTCCCTGACACTGTAGTTCGAGCGTATAGGATGAGGTATGAGGATCGCTGCTGCGTGACAAGCCAATTAAAGATACAAGTGCTCGTCAAATAAGACACGATGAGAATAAAGCATGCCCACAATTAGAGGTTTGCGTAACTGGAATTCGCCACTTGACTGACCACTGGAAAGTAGTCCAAAGAAGTTGACCAAAACCCTAATTTCAGACCACCTACGCTTAATGAAAGAAGCAAACAGTCTTTGGTATGGTACCGAGCTTCACGCCAAGGTCCACCTTCAGACTCAACCAACAAGAGGACCACCCACAAAAGCGATGATTAAGGGTGAACTGGGGACCCTAGATAGACATTTGTATATATATATATATATATATATATATATATATATATATATATATATATATATATATATATATATA